TTGCATTTAGGAATTTGTTAGCTACACAACCTAACAAGCTCCTTCTCCCTTTTCACCTGTTTCCAAATCCTTAGACACAACAAATCAACACACGTGCCAAACATTTCGTACGTAACCACCACCCTTTCCACTTCGTTACACCATAAACAAACTTCTAAAGAGCTTCCAAATAAGATCAATCTTGTTCTTTTCATTACAATTAGCATACACGTGACATACACGTTTATGATGTTCAACTTCAGGCAAAATGTCGTGAATAGCCTCAACTAAATCCTGCAAGTACAAGGTCGGAAATCATCACATATTTAATGAACAAAATTTAATATGAGAAAAGAGAAAATATCCTCACTTAGTTATACCTTATGTTTGTCTGAAACCACAGTGCATCCCCTGCCATCCATGAGAAATAACTCTTGAACTAAAGTTCGCACAAACCATGTCCATGAATTGGTGCTTTATCCTAATTGGTGCTTTATCCTTCCACCACGACCCAATAAATTAGGAACATTTGATTGTTTCCATGTTTCCCAACAGCTACAAACACCACCCAACCTCTCCCTTCAAGAAACAACCATCCATGCCAAACATTGGTAGACAACATTCTATAAATTACTTTTTCAAACTCAAGAAACCAATGTACAGCCATTGTAAGTTACATTTTTTTGCCATTAGGATGAGGCTCTACTTCCAACATGAAACACTCTTCATGATCTTGTTTCTTCAACACATCAGCATAGCTTCTCAGTTGCTTGTACTCATCCACCAAAAACCACTGAGCATCTGAATAGAGCTACCTTATCCCTTTAACAAGTTCTCTTCTTGACTTCCATATTGTGCTTTAGTTTCACTCAAGCCATTACTGATTTGGAGCACATTTAGTTAATCCTAAATCATTCTAGCATGTTTTTTGCTATCCACTTTGTAATTATTTGGTTAACTCGAGGGGACATTGCACAAGATTTTGGAAAGCCTACCTTCCTTATCATGAAGCTTTTGTCCTTCCTAAACCAACTTGCATACAACCTTCACTTGCAGTTGGCAACCTTACACTTCACCTCCTTCATACTAAGGTTACTCCTTACCCACCACAGACTTTTCTTCGGTTCTACAACATGTCTAACAACAACATCCCTGAATTTCTCCGGACCATCAAAATTCATTTGACACACGAACTGTAAATGTCTTGGATCACAACTATGATCATAGTGTAGTGCATCAACGTACAAATGAACACCCTCCCCATTAGACAAGTTCGGACACACATGGTTGGAATCTTTAGACAATTTGTAGCTCGAATGATGTCAAGCCTCGCCACAAACTTGCTGAGATTGACGTGTAGGCTGGATGGAGAGGGAATGATGTGGAGCCTCTCCGCTTGCAGCCACTCCATATGAAGTCTCTTCATCATGAGCTACCTCATCTTTTGTGTCTTTTTTATTCTCGAAATCCAAGTATTCAAATTTGTCTAGTTGGTATACCTCTTCCCCATTGCCATCTTGCCTTGCCTGCACCTTCCTTCTCGTCATCTCTCCATATGCTTGTAAGTTGGCACTTGCTTCATGGTATTCATTTTCAGAATTCATTGCATCATCTGGGTCATATACGTGTACACCTCTCGTGCAACTGAAGATGTTGCCTCATCTTCTGCTGACAAGAATTCATCTTCTTCCCCAATATGGTTTGGGACATTCTCGCTAACCACCTTTTCCCGTGGATCTGCCATATGTACAAAAATCCATTCTTTATGTCATTAACTACTATTTAAATATTTCATTCGCTAATAAATAAATCACATACAACCAACAAGACACAACAATTTCATTGAATTCACATACAACCAACCCAAACACGAGCAATGGATTCCTTCATAGTACATTGACCATTATATCTAGAAGTATGAGGTAGGTGTTTGCCGTATGATTCAAGGGCAATCTCACGATAAACAACCTCTTGTGATCCCTTGAAGCAATTATAGTGTCACTTTCCCACCTTTATAGCTCACTTTAACCTATGAAATGCAACAACCCACTAGACGTTCACGAAACAAGCTATACCATGCAAATAACAGAACCAGAGGAGGCCACGAGTACTCACTGGTTGCCACAAACGTAAAGATCCCTTCTTGAACTTGCGACACAAGATTAGGGTTTTATGTCGATCTATTTAGCGTTGCAATTTTTATGGATTCACTAGGTAAGAGGGTGTCGTCTTCACCCACTAGTTGTTCTGGCGTAGTTAGAGCCGACGTTCGACGCTATTCGCCGGCCGGATGCATGGCTGCCTTTGTCGAAGATAAAAAAAACAGACGACTACGCTCGAGTGGAATGGATGTCAGGAGGTTGAGCTACCATATGGAGGGGTCAATGGGCGGAATGGTGCGACGATTGGGAGGGGTGCCGTCGTGTGGAAAGTATGGTGGAGGGTTTCGTTCGAGAGAGAAGAAGATGAGATTGGTGGGGATCAGAAGAACGAAAGGAGAAAAGTGAAGGGGAAGGTTCTTCCTCTCCCTTTTTGTTTTAATTTTTTTCATTAAATTACAAAACGATGATGGTTTTCCACCTGTCATTATTTCCAACTAAAACATGCCACGTTAACCACTGTCTTTAGTTCAGTCAACATATGTGATTATTCTGTTAAAGTTATTGACCGAATGTCTACATCTATCTATTTTTTTAAAATGTCAATTATTCAAAAAGTGGACAATTATAACTGGTGAAATTTGTTGAAAATTTTTTGGCAAAAAAAGAAAGAAAGAAATTTGCTGAAAAATAAATAGGAAAGCCCAAACAAACAACTAGGCCTTCGTCCTAATAACTGCCTGCCCAACGGTGGAAGCCCACTCTGAAAGCCTCAAACGCAAATCTAGTAGGAGGGTAGGCAGTGGCGGACCCAGAAATTTTATATAGGGGTGTCCTCTTTTAAAAAATAAATTAAATACAAATAATTCTAAAATAATTAATAAATAATAAATAATATTTAAATAAGAAATACTTTACTCATACAGTTTGAAAAAATTCACAATGTGTTTTCATATTAAAAAATGATTGTAGAACACACTTGGGGTCTACACTATTCAAAAAAAAATTGTCTCTGTATATCATATTAGACAATCATTCACGAACTGATCACATATTCAATTTCTAAACTTGTTTGTGATGTAATCCAAAGTTGAAAAGACTCTTTCAATACTTGTTGTACAACCATAAATCAATACAAATTAAGGGTAGCTTGAAATTTGTTTAATTGTTAGATTTTGAAAATAATTAGAGATAGAGAATGACATTATACTATTACACAGTGTTTAAAATCAAATAACATATGAGTTGTAGCCTAATGAAAATTTTGTTTATTAATAATAAAAGTGTCCTAGGTTTGAATTACCCAAACTATGACTTATATTCTCATACTCAAACTAAAAGATGAGAGTAGGATAATCACTTTTTTAAATTTAGGGGTGTCCCCGACTATCAATTATAATTTTTTTTGTCAATACGTAAATTACTACCGGGGGTTGGATAATCGTTTTCCCAAAATTTAGGGGTGTCCGGGGACACCCCTAAACAGCCGTGGGTCCGCCCACCGGAGCGAATCAGGTCAGTAAACTTAGGGTGAGTAACCATGAGTAACCTATCCACATCAACGTGATATCAACATATTTCTCTATCATGGAAAACCTTTTATCTTCTCCCATTTAATCTTTTAACGGACGATTACTATCCCGTTTTAAGTCGGAATTTAAATTTTTCTGCACATATTAATTAGATCAATGCAGTCAAAATCGCGCTTTAAAACTTAAAAGCTTACGCTTTTGCCTTTTTAGGTCATCAAAACGCTTCTACGTAGAATCGTGATTTTACTTTACATATGTAGTCAAAATCTACGCTTTAAAACTTAAAAACTTACGGTTTTACGCTTCTAGGTCACCTAACCGCTTCTAGGTAGAATCGCGCTTTTGACTGCATTGAATTAGATTAATTGTGCTCTTTAAAATGATATCCACTTTGATATATTTTTAGAACAAAAAAATTGAGTCGTTTTTTACAAGTCAATACTATATGGTATTGATGAGTTTACCATATGGTAAGAAAGCGTACAATGATGTTATGAACATATCAAGACTGTAGGAAGTTTAAATACTATACTAACTGTCATTTACGATTTTCGTCATTGTTTACCACAAGTTACTCCCCCATACCAGGGTGGTAAAGTATGGTAATTTTTTGTCCTGTATTTTTTTCACCCAGAAATTTGTAGATCCAAATAGATCATGATGAACTCATTCTTTCTAAAGCAAACTTATTAAAAAATAACTTAAAAACGTAAAAGTTACCAAATGGTATGGAGTTGGTAACGAGAGGTATGAAAAAAAATTTCTCAAAAAATATTGAAAATTGATATAATTTTGTAGAGCACAACGAACTCGTTCCATCTGTGCAAAAAAAATTGAAATTCGAGCTAGAACGAATAAGATAAGAGCCGATTAAAAAATTACGAAAAATAAAATACTTTTAATTCTTCACGCTTAGATTTAAATTTTCTGGTGCAACTTAAATATGATGGTTGAGATTTAGTTACTCATTAGTTAGTAATTAGAGCATCCACATTGGTATTGCATTCTCAATTGCAAAATGACATGACATAGGTGTTTGCAATTGCAAAACCAATTGCATTAATGTGGCTACCAATTGCATATTTGCAAGCTTGCAACAAATGCAATTCAATATGCAAGTCAAAAAAACCTAAAAAATTGGGGATTTTGTATTTTATATATTTTTTTCTCTTTTACTTAATTTTCTATAATTTAAACATAATATATAATTATATTTGCAATTGCAAGTTAATTATATTGATGTAAGTGAATGAAATGAATGTGATGTGGATTGCAATAAATTTGAGTTGACAATAAAAAACACATATACAATTTCTTTTGCAATTACATTGATGGAGATATTCTAAATTTCCTAAGCCGGGTAGGACCCGCCAAATCGAGAAAAGCGCCGGGTCCAACTTGAAGAAACATTGCCAGGTAGAGGGAGCTAGTGAAGTCGAGCTTTACTTGGGGGAGTCCGCACCGCAGCTCCACCTCCGCCCGCCCCCTTTCCCTTAAAGGAAAACAAAAGAAAGGAAACCAGCTACCAACCCCCAAACCCTCCGTCCCATTTATTCTCTTCGCACTGATCGCCCATTTGGCGGATTCCCCGACGCAGCCCCCCGCTATAGTTAGCAGCAGTCCCACCCCCCCAATTCAAACCTCCCTCTTCCCGACCAACCAACCCAAGAAATGGCGTTCGCGGCCAGCCCGGCAGCCACCACCACCACCATTCTCAACACCTCCTTCTTCACCTCCAAACCCAGCTCTTCCTCTTCCCTCCCCATCAAGACCCGGCCCTTCTACGTCCGCAACTCCGTCACCGCCGTCGCCCCCGCCGCCAAGGTCGCCCAGGACTGCCAGGTCAAGTCCGTCAAGGCCAGGCAGATCATCGACAGCCGTGGCAACCCCACCGTCGAGGTCGATCTCTTCACCGGCGACGGCCACCTCTTCCGATCCGCCGTCCCCAGCGGCGCCTCCACCGGGATCTACGAGGCTCTCGAGCTTCGCGACGGGGACAAGTCCGTCTACGCCGGTAAAGGCGTCCTCACTGCTGTTGCCAACATTAATGATATTCTCGGCCCTAAGCTCGTCGGCGTTGATGTTAGGTAAATATCACTGATTGATTATGTACTGGGTTTCCATTTTGTTTTATTACCCGATTGAAAATGAACCATTCGAGCTGCATTTTGGCTCTCTCGCGGAATAGACCCTTCAAGAAGTTGACCAGTTTGTAAGCTTGCTGTAAAATTACAAGGAAGAAAAACTAAAAATTGCCATACCAGCTGCTGCCAATCCTATGTACTGCGTGCTTCTAATGGGGTTTCCGTTCACTTGAGTTCCCAGAAGTCAAGCGGATGTAGATGCTCTGATGCTGGAGATTGATGGAACCCCAAACAAGTCGCAACTTGGGGCCAACGCCATACTGGGAGTCTCCCTCAGTGTGTGCAGAGCTGGGGCAGGTGCCAAGAGAGTGCCATTGTACAAGCACATCCAGGAATTGGCAGGGACGAAAGAGCTGGTTATGCCCGTCCCGGCTTTCAATGTCATCAATGGAGGCAGCCATGCTGGAAATGCACTAGCTATGCAGGAGTTCATGATTTTGCCTGTTGGGGCTGGTTCTTTCGCCGAGGCCCTCCGTATGGGCAGTGAAGGTCAGCTACCTATATTTAATTCTTAGTTTAGACTTGTGCAGCTTAGGGTTTTAGGATCTTAACGTTTTGCATCTTGATGTTCAGTTTACCATACACTCAAGGGGATTATCAAATCGAAGTATGGACAGGATGCTTGCAATGTTGGTGATGAAGGTGGGTTTGCTCCTAATGTACAAGACAATAGGGAAGGGCTGGTGCTTCTCATGGATGCTATTGACAAGGCTGGTTATACAGGAAAGGTATGAATTCCTTAGCTAGCTTCTCTCCTCTAATTGTCGTACCCCCTGTGATCCTGCGTCATTTTATACTGCATTGTCTTACTCTGAAAACCTTATGCCAGATCAAAATAGGAATGGATGTTGCTGCTTCAGAATTTTTTACCAAGGATGGAAGATACGACTTGAACTTCAAGAACCAACCGAATGATGGAGCTCACGTGCTTGCAGCTCAGAGCCTTGGAGATCTTTACAGGGAATTTATCAAGGATTTCCCTATTGTCTCCATTGAAGATCCATTTGACCAGGATGACTGGAGCTCTTGGGCGTCTCTGCAGTCTTCTGTGGATATCCAACTTGTGGGAGATGATTTGTTGGTCACAAATCCCACTAGAATAGCTGAAGCTATTGGCAAGAAGTCCTGCAATGGTTTGCTTCTCAAGGCAAGCGGCCGAGAAGTTTTTCTTTGTTTTACTCTCTTCCATATGCGATACTAGTCTAGTGCATAAAAAGAGTTTCACTAATTATACTTCAATTAAACTGCAGGTGAACCAGATTGGCACGGTGACAGAATCCATTAAAGCTGCACTTGACTCGAAAGCTGCAGGATGGGGAGTGATGGTTAGCCACCGAAGTGGTGAAACTGAAGATAATTTCATTGCAGATCTTTCTGTTGGACTGGCCAGTGGACAGGTTCCTACTGCTAAAGCTTTTGGAAATTTGTCTTTTGCTACATATCATTCTATGAGGATTGACCGACTTTCTTTTCTTTTTGCCCTTGTTTTTGTAGATTAAAACTGGAGCTCCTTGCAGAAGTGAGCGATTGTCCAAATACAATCAGGTCAAATCTCACTCTGTATCTGCTACCTCTGATCACACTAGTTGAAAAGGATAATTTTACTATTAAGAATTCAACTCGTAAGAAGATTGCGATTATGCTATTAAGAATTGACCCATCATTTTGTCACACATAGGATGCTTAAGAGTGCTTAACAGTCATTCAAAGACTAGCGAATGGGTTTTATTTCTTCCTGATATCATTTCTCTGTTAACCTTGGTTTTCTGTTTACTAATTTGTTCAGTTCAACTTCATAACTGTTGGCTGGTTCTCTTTGTACTACAGCTGCTGCGGATTGAAGAGGAACTAGGAAATGTGCGCTATGCTGGCGAAGCCTTCCGATCCCCATAGGAGAAGAGAAGGGAAAGGTGGAATGAAATGAAACATAATTTGAGTTAAATTGGTGAAGTGGGAGTCGAGGTACATGGCAAAGCAGCAGAAAGAGTCGCGTAATTAGGCACTAAAAATTTCAATTTTTGTACTTTCGTTGTTACCTAATTGATTACAGATGAACAGGCGCTTGGTTGTTAACAATAAAGTTTGCATTTACATGGATTTGGTGTTCAACATCCATGGCACTGGCAAAGCTACGCCCTATTGTATTGCTGGCTGGGATTATCTCTCGTCCCTCCATTTCTGAGTGAATTAAAAGAAAGCTGGTTTGCTTGTGTTAGATAGTCATTAATTGAGGGGGTTTATTTGTTATTTGGACGTTTTATGTTATGTCGGCTATTTCGGGAATTATTGGGGTTAATTCGGTTAGGTTAAGTCTTTGGGTAGTTATAGGGAATTAGTCGGTTTATATATATTCTGTGTTAGGCCTAGGTTAAGGTTAAGCAATAACAACAGAATTATTCCCTAAAGCTCTCTCTCTCCCTCTCTCATAGCCGAACCCCCTCTTCCCCTCTCCAACTCGTCGGCCACCATCCCAGTGATCGGAATCGTCTTCTCTCAACCCTAATTCCCAAATTATACCTCATCCCAAATCCCTAATTCTCATACCAATCACGATCCTCAATCGCACATCTAGATCCGTGCTCTTTCAGTGGTATCAGAGCCTAGTTGGTGTGCCGATTCTCTGAAGAAATAATGCAGTCTGAAGATGTCGAACCCCGCGGACAAACAACAATCGTCGCGCCAGACCAAGGAGGTGGTGACGGTCAAGGATGTGACGACCAACAAGTATGACGCGCTGGCATCATCGTAGGAGAGCCAGACCGAGGTCACTGTGAGGGCATTGGAGGCCTCGAAGGGCTCGATCGGAGCCATCAAAGCCATGAGCGACCAAATCAAGGCCTCCATTGAAGAGATGGGCAAGAGTGTGGCTGAAAACATCTGCGGAGCCCTGGCGGCGACGATGCAGTAGGTGCTAACCCAAGTCCTGAAGAACCGGGAACCGCTGGTGGTCCCGGCTATGGGGCGGCGCCGACAGCTGCAGCCGCGACGTGAGTGAAGCCGGCGGCAGCAGCCGCGGCGGGCTGAGGGGGCGCAGGAGGCACCGCACGACGACGGGGGCGCTGGGCAGGCCGGGGCGGGAGCGTGCCGGGAGGAGAAGGCGGCGGAGGAGAAGCCGCCGGTTGGCGGGGACGAGGCAGGGGCGACGCAGTTGCTGGCCGCGGCGAGCGGGGCGCCGGGAAGCTCAGCCTTGCTGCGCAGTCGAGCGGGGGAGCCGGGAAACTTGGGCGCCAGGAGCGCACCCGCGCCTGCATTCAGCGGGCCTGACCGGCTGCCAACGCCGACGGAACCGGGCCAAGACAAGGCCCGTGGGAAGCAGAAGATGGCTGGGTACGAAGGAGAGCCATACATGATTGGACCTGGTGGAGAAGAACCCTGGCCCCAGGAGGAGGAGTTGAGTTTTGGTGATCCGGAGGGCTGGATGGACCCGAGCCCAGAGGAGGCGAGATGGGGCTGGGTCGCGGGCTCGAAGCCGGGCCGAATCGGACAGGTTACGGGGTGGCCAGCTGGTCGAACCGAACCCAGTCGGACAGTACCGAACTGAACCGGTTCAGGTCATCCGCAGGCGGGCAGCAGCTGGAGCGGGCCGAACAAGGGTCCCGGCAAGGGCCCGGAGTACGGGTGCCCCCTGTGGAGTACACCGCGAGCAGGAGGGGGACGTGGTCGAGGTAATCGGGATATTGGGCAAGGGTCGGGGACCAAGCCTGAGTACCACAGGAACCACCAGGAGGTGACGGGCGACTGGTCTTACCCTCCCCAGCAGCGAGCCGAGGGCAGCCACTACCGTCAAGGATCGATGAATCAGCCACCACCACCAAACACAGGCAGGTATGAATACAGTAACCCTCTATATGAGACTGAAGAGGAATTGGTATTTAGAGCTAAACCGCCAGTGATAGAGTTTCCCAAGTTCGACGGCTCGGGAGATGTGGGTTTGTGGTTGTATGCAGCTGAGAGGTGGTTCAGGAACCACCCAATCCGAGAAGAGCGGAAGGCGCACCTGGTGCCCTTCTATCTTGAGGGAGATGCCCTCCAGTGGTGGGAATGGACCGAGCGAGCTTATGCCGCGGGCGGTGAGATCATAACATGGCCCAGGTTCCATGATGAGCTGCGTTACCAGTTTGGCAAGGCAGAGGGATGGGCTCCGGAACAACTGGCCAAGCTCAGGCAGACAGAGTCGGTGGCTGAGTATCGCGCGGAGTTTCTTAAGCTGGGAAACCAGTGCAAGGAAATGACTGAGGAGACCCTGGTGAGGCTGTGCATGGCGGGGCTTCGTCCTGAGCTGGCCACCGCCGTTAAGGTTTTTGAACGTGACTCTCTTCGAGTTGCTTTCAGGATTGCAGGACGCAAGGAAGAGGAGTTGGCTAGTTGGAGGACGTCGGACGGGCGTATCCAGAAAGCCAGTGGAGGAGTGGGAGCAGGAGCCGGTACCTCATCACCGTCGGGAAATGCAAGCCCGGCAGCCACGGGAGCAATATCGGGGAACAAGTTCCAGTCAAGGCTGCCACCGAAGGGGTTTGTCCGGATGACTCAGGCAGAAATGGACCAGAAGCGCAGAGACGGCCGTTGCTTCAACTGAGACGAGAGGTACACGATGGGGGCATCAATGCGCCAAGGGTCATCTAATGCTGTTGGTTGGGAACTGGGAAGATGAAGGAGAGGAAATGGAGGCGAGAGAAGCAGAAGAGAAGAAAGAAGGTCCACCTTGAGGGCAAGGTGGGTTTCAAGGGAGATGGGATGTTAGATAATCATTAATTGAGGGTTTATTTGTTATTTGGACGTTTTATGTTATGTCGGCTATTTCGGGAATTATTGGGGTTAATTCGCTTAGGTTAAGTCTTTGGGTAGTTATAGGGAATTAGTCGGTTTATATATATTCTGTGTTAAACCTAGGTTAAGGTTAAGCAATAACAACAGAATTATTCCCTAAAGCTCTCTCTCTCCCTCTCTCATAGCCGAACCCCCTCTTCCCCTCTCCAACCCGTCGGCCACCATCCCGGTGACCGAAATCCTCTTCTCTCAACCCTAATTCCCAAATTCTACCTCATCCCAAATCCCTAATTCTCATACCAATCACGATCCTTAATCGCACACCTAGATCCGTGCTCTTTCAGCTTGTGAACAATGTATGACTGAGATCAGTGAGAAACTTGAGTAACATTTTCAGCCATCAATAGTACCACCAGAAACAAGCTGACACGCCGTCATCATATTGAGATGTACTACTACTAGGATTGGGTGACCGGAGCCCGTTGACAACCTTGAACTACCATAGGAAGCTAAAACCGCAAAAGTTAAAATGTTAACAAGCCATTTTGTTAGCAGATACTAACTCATATCTGAAATGGCTGAACTAGTATCCATCTTATAGACAAAATTATGGCTACTGAAAATATTTCGATAAAACTAGAAAAATTAGGAAGAAAAATAGATGAATATCAAGAAATTCTAATAAATATAATAGAAGACAATAATAAACAATTAAGATCAATATTAGAACATCAAGGTAATGAAAAGCGAAAAGATATATATTCAGATTTAGAACTCGCTAATGATACAATTACCAAAATAATAGCGGATATAAAACAAAGAGAAATAGCAATGGGAAAAACAACTCCAAATTCTAAAGAAATAGTATTACCGGTAGAAGATCTTAAGGAAATCATTATTAAACTTCAAAAAATAATAATTAAATTAGATAATAAAAGGAGCATTACAATTGAAGATATAAAAGAATATTTGAATTAGCATAAATCAGGAAAATCTAGCCCATTAACTATCATGGCACCCTACAAACTTCTATGACTAGTATTGACGAACAAATTAATAAATTAAATGATTTACTAGCCGCAATTACTATTGAATCAGAACCAGAGATAGAAGAAAATATAGAAAACGGTAAAATAGTTCTTGACTATAGTAGCGACGAAAACCCCTATAAAAATTACCCAAATGCAAATTACACGAAAACTGAAACTGAGGATCAAGCTAAAACATCACGGAAGCGTGATTTTAATGACTATAAAGATGGTTAACTATTTTTTGATGAATACTTATATAAAAATTCGTATACACCTCGCAAAGGGGGAGGATGGAGTAAAATACCTCAATATTACATACAAAAATATTCCACCACTAGTTTTAACAGTCCTGATATATTAGATCTTGATTGTTGCGTCAATCCATTAAAAGAATTATAAGACTGGAAAAATCGAACTGGATTACTAATACAAACTAATGAAGATCTAAAGAAATAACACATCCTAATGAAATGTTTAATTTCTTAATATATAAAACAACTGGGGCAGTTTATCATTATCTTAACAACATGGATATTCCTACTAATACAATGTTATATGGAACAACTGATGCGACTAATACCTTTGAAAAATTCTTAAATGCAATAAGTCATGAATTCTTAGGACGACATCCTCGAGAAGATAAACCAAACACAACCGTAAGTCAACAAGCTATTTGGCATTTAACTAATCTTAGAATATGCAACATGTGCTTCTTAGAACCATTTATTTGTGAATTCAGAACACACTATTATCAAGTCACCCCTTCGATAAGAAAAGAGCTAGATAAATTACTCTATGCTAAATTACCACCTAATGTCTCTGAAAAAGTCGAAGCTATCTTTAATGAATCTTTGACAAAAGAAGAAATACCAGATACATTAGGAGGAAGAATATTAGTTTTACAAGAATGACATAAACGAGCTTGTAATAAGGAAAAACTAAAGAAACAAGCTATAATTAAACTCTGTTGTGAACAAACAATGGACAGAGTTGGAAAGTATGGGTGTAATGATGATCGTAAGATCATTAAAACTCGAAACAAATATAGAAATTATAAAAAAATGGAGAAAAATAACTTATAAAGAATATAGAAAAAATAGATTCAAAAAACCAAATAAATATTTCAGAAATAGAAAACAGTTTAAACAAAAATCAAGACAACAAGAATACTGTCCTAAGGGAAAAAAGAATTGTAGATGTTGGTTATGTAACGAAGAAGGACATTACGCAAATAAATGTCCTAAGAAAAATACTAACACTAGAAAACAAGAAGTCCTTAGATTAGCTTACGATTGTGGTTTTGAACCAATCGAAGAAACAGATTTTGAACTTTCCGATATAGAAATTATTGAATATATTTCAACCTCAGAAACCTCTTCAGATGAGTCAGAAGAAGGTATTAACTAAGGGCAATCCTAACGCAACATTTATTAAAATTGAAATAGAGAAGAAAAATTTCTTAGCATACATTGATACAGGGGCAACCTTATGTTTTGCCAAAAAATCAACCATAAAAAAATGGGATAAACTTCAAAAACCTTTAAAAATTATAGTGGCAGACAAATCTATCCATGAAATCTGGTATGTAAAACAATATGTACC